ATGCATGCTTATAAAATGAAGCTGGTACCTGAAAATAAGAGCTTCAAGTTAAGGCCAAGCCCCATCCTCCTCAAACTTGGTCAGAAGCCAAACTTTTTTTGCCGAACAATTTGTGGCTACAGATGCTCTTTCCCCTGGGACTTCAGCCCCTAACCAGTATTAATGTATTATTTTCACACATGAGGGCACTCATTCTTCTAGGCAAGGAGCCAAAATACACACGTACTTCCAGTCATTGAGCACTCAGCAATGTGAGATTCTACACTGATCTGGAGGTTGGCGTCCTACATTTGTTGCATTTAAGGATCATATATTGTTATTACATATGGTCAATAAAGCCCAAATTCTTCCTCTTTGTCAAGAGCTTTAATCAGGCTGAAACTAGATTTATAATAAGATGAAGAGGGTAAAAACGTGCATTTAACTTTTCCTTCAGTTGGAATCAGAACCACAAAAGGCGTAAAGGACCTTATTACACAGAACAGAGAACATCAGAGCGGGGAGGGTCCTTAGAATATAATACAGTAGAACTGAAAGGAACCTTAAATAGAACCTGGTTTGATGTTTTATTCTCTATGTGGCAAAACCAAGGCCTAGGGAAGCAAAGTGAATTGCCCAAGGCTACAGAACTTCTTAGTGGCAGAATTTGCCATTTCAGGGCCACTTCTCCCATTACCCTTTGTTTCTCTGGTTATTCCAAAAGCAACAAAGGGCTAAAAAAAAAAAAACAAAAATGCAGCTGCACAAATACATGAGGGAGGAGCTAAAGTTTAGGTGGGGTGGGGAACCTGTGGCCTGGAGGCCACATGTGGCCCTCTAGGTCCTCAAGTGCAGTCCTTTGACTGAATCCAAACTTCACAGAACAAATCTCCTCATAATAAAAGGATTTGTTCTGTAAAACTTGGACTCAGTCAAAAGGCCAAACCCAAAGACCTAGAGGGCCACATGGCCTCAAGGCAGCAGGTTCTCCACTCCCTGAACTAAGAAAGAAAGAGGTCTGGACTGCAAGCTCTCCATGTCAAGAGCGTATCATGGCAGCCAACCCAGACTCCTAAGAGCGCAGGCTACAGCAGTACAGACCTAGTATCTGCAACAATACAAATGGTGTTTACCTTTGTCAGACAACAACTACAGAACTGTGCTCCCTCCTGGGAATCACACATCAGGAAGGCCATTCGTGAACCTGTATACACCTAGAGATCAATGGCCAGAATGGCAGAACGGCTAGCAGTTTGCCAGCAAAGGATCAGTCGGAGAAACTGTGGATATTTAACTCACAGAAGACTTGGGGAAGGGCATGACAACATTCCTCAAGTATCTGAAGGGCAGTCCTACAGAAACAGTATTGGATTTGCTCTGTTTAGCCCAGAGGAAAGAACTAAAAAGAGAAGGGGGAAAGTTTCAGGCAAGCAGATTCTAGCTAAATATAAAATAATCATGGGGAAATGTGGTATAACAGAAAGATCAATGGGTCTGGAAATCAGGAGGCCTGGGTCCGACTCTTCTATCTGATACTTGTTAGCTGCATGACTGTGAGCAAGTTACTTAACCTCTTTGAGCTTCAGTTTCCTTATCTGTAAAATGGGGATGATAATAATAATAATAATTATTATTATACTACTATAGTTATTAGTCATAGAATACAGAGTTATAGATAAAATAATTACTTCATAGGATTTATGTGAGGTAAGCACTCTTGTAAATCTTAAAGTACCATAAAATTGAAATTATCTATTATTGTTTATTAATAAGAATAACCATCATTAAAATAATCATTGGTAATAACAATTTAAAGTAAATTATAAAAGCATATAATACTAATAGTAACAAAGTAAAATGGGCTCCTTCAGGACATAGTGGTAGGTTTTCAATCATTGATGGCTATATTCCATCACAAGCTAGATGAGAACTTGTAGACTGTGTACAGGGGATTTCTTGGTCAGGAACAAGCTGAGTTAGATCCCCTTCAAGATCCCTTCCAGCTCTGAAGTTGTGGGAAAAAGAGAGGAGCTTGTCCAATTGCATTTGAGCATACAATATCCCTAAACAGGCAGAATATTCAGTGGCAAATCCCTATTTTGTGCTAGGAACTCTGGAATATATATTTCTCTAAGGTCAAACCATATGCAGTTCCAGCTGATAGCACAAGAAAAAGGAAAAAATGTTTGTAAATTCAACTTTATTTTAAAAATTGTTAGCTCTGACCTTGAAGTTATCTACAACTGCTAAAATAGGCTCAGTGTATACTATACTATGTATTTGTCCTAGGGCCAAGGCGTAGTAAACAAAAGACATTCCAGGCAGAGAAGACAGGGGAAGAATCAGTTAGAGGGAGGAATATTTCAACTAAATACTAGGGGAACACTTCCTAACAACCATGGCTGATCACAAGTTGGATGGGCTAACTGAAAAGAGAGTAAACTCCCTTTCATTGCAGGTTATCAAATTAAAGCAGAGCTCTAGGATCTGAATCACAGAATTTTGAGAGTTGGAAAGGACCTCAGCTGCATAGTCCAACTCATATTTGATAGGTAGAACATATTCTCCCTGACAAGTTACTCATCCATCCTCTGAAGATCTAAGGAACCGGGGACTATTCCAGAGATTTGGGCGTGGGTGTGGACATAGAGTATCCCAAAAGCCTTAGTGCAGCATTAAGCTATTCAAGTTTTACTAGTTTTGGTATTATTAGTATTTAGTATTATGAGTATTAGTATTTAGTATTATTAATATAAACTATTAAAGATTTAATAGCTTAAAATCCCACGAAAACTTTTAGGACACCCTGTATATATACACTCACACCCAGACTTACACCACCATATAGGGATGATATATCAGGTATTCATCTCCCCCTGAGATCACTTCCAGTCTGCTCCGGGGTTCTATGATTTCTTACTGAAATATCCTTCCCTCTGCCTACTTTCCTACAGACATCCTGGATTCAATTTGTGCTACATAAAGAAATAATTATAGAATCACAAATTATTTTTATCCACATCTGATCTTCAGGCACTTTATTCAGGAAAGATTTATATTTGATTCTTAAAAAGGAATGAATAAATCCATCTACAAGATTCCACTAAAACACAATGCACACATTTCACCTCATACTGCCCTTCAAACATCTGACGAAATGTCATCCCACCACTGCTCCATTTGCTGTATGAATTTCTCCTATAAAGACTCACTGCGAGACTTTTATCCTGGGGCAGAATAAGTAAAGAGCAGATGAACTGCTAAATGCTTTTATATGGCAAAAGAATTTCTGGCTTAGGCTTCTTGCAGCCACCATGATAAGGGAAAGAGGGTGATGGGAAAGAAACCCTGCCTCAGGCTTCTCGCCACAGAAGGAGGCCACTGCCCCTGCTTTATGCTGAGTTTCCCAATATTGTCCCTGAAAACTCCCAGGTCAGAACCCCTGCAGATCAAGGCTGGGAAAGAAGCTACTGCTCCTGCTTTGAACAGCTGGCAGGTGTCCTTACCTTCTCCTTTTTGTTATTTGTTTCCAGGTGATGTCATGACGTGCAAGTAAATTGGATTTAAGTAAGGCAGGGCTGTGCAAGTCACCAGACTCACTTTCTCCTCTGGAGCCATCTGGGTCCAATGGGAAGACGTACATCAGAATGACTGGAGATGGCCCTGGATGTGGTGGGGGACCTTGGCCTTTTAAAGCTAAGGTCTTTCCCAGGTCTCAGTTTGTCTGAGGCAACACCCATTCGGTATCTAAGGCTAAGTAAGAAATGAGGCAAAGAATGGCCTCTTTTACCTAGTCAAAAATGATTAAACAAACAAAAAACCAACTTGGGAGGGGAAGACCCTCAGGGTTTCTGGCCAAAACAGAAACAAGTGCTGTTTACACTCACTCTGAGCTGTTAGAGCCCAAATAAGGCCAAGGTCTCCCGCTGCCTCTGGGGCCATCTCCAGTCCTCCTGATCTATGTCTGGCCACTGAACCCAGATGGCTCTGGAGGAGAGAGTGAGGCTGGTGACTTTGCACAGCCCTGCCTCACTTAAATGCAATTCACTTGCAAGTCATGACATCACCTTCCAGATGTCATGGTCCTCTTCAAGAACGAAGGACAAACGATAACCTGTAAGGAGTAGTAGTTGCTGCACCGGGGACCCAAATGGCCAGTTCCAATTGGGCAACACAGTTTCTTAGTTCGTTTGTTCGTTCCTTCCTTCCTTTCTTCCCTCCTTCTCTACCTTCCTCCTCTCCCTCTGTCCACATAGGGAATCATATTCTTATCTGTAGGGCTCTGTCCAAAGGAATATACATTTTGATTGCTGAAACCTCAAAATATGACTTGAGATTCATGGACTAGATTTCTTTTTTAAGGACCATGCCTTAAAATCACTCTGGCGCTCATTGATTGGCCAACAATAGGTCCCAGCCCCAGTTTCATTTGGTCATTGTTTGGGATATGTATACCTTTATTTTCTTCTCCTACTTTCTGTAAAATTCTATCTTTCTATGCTGCTTATGTATTCACACTCTATATGAGGTTGTGAAGCCAATGCTCTGGGCTCTCTGAAGTTTGGTGTTGTTTTTTTTTATACTGATGAGTCTGTGCTCTGAGCATAAATAAAGTCTACAGACAATTATCTCTGTATCATTTGTTGATTTGGTGATTGAGAACTAGTTGATAAGACCCTTCAATCATTTTTTATCCCATTTATAATTTGTTTAGCTTAAAAAAAACCAAACAAATTTGCAACTAGATATTCCATCTGATTCTTGGAATATGTGAAGTGCAGTTTGGAGTTGAGTGTTTCTGGGATGAATTAGCTGACTAGGCTGGAGATACACATACAGCTAGGACAGAGTCTACTCTCAAGAAGCTTATTACCTAACAAAGAACAGAAGGGATAAGAGAGTAAAGAGTTGTTTTATTCACATAAATGCTGCCTTGTGCCCCAAGCACAGGAAAATTCCTAGTCCATTAGGGGCTTCAGACTGTCATCACAAAAAGACTGAAAGAATTCTAGAACCTTAGAGATGGAAGAGGCTTCAGAGGGCACTGGGGCTAATCCTAGTTGAAGCAGGAATTTCTTCTCCAAAAACATCTCCCAAAAGCAGACATCCAGTCCCTGCCTGAACAACTCCAGGTACAGGGAACTCACTAACTTTTGAGCTCGTTCCACTTCAAATAGTTTTGATGCTGAAATCTGCCTCCCAATAACTTCCTTCTGTCACTTTTCTGAAGGACATGTCTGCTCCCTTTTCCTTCAGATGTTTGGAAAGTAACCATGTCTGTCCCCCACCATGGGTCCCTCTTCTTCATCCTCTCCAGATTCCACTACTGACTCTTCAGACTTTCTCTACCATCCCCTCAGGTACCTTTGCCCTCAGTTTCCTTTTGTGTGTTGTCTCCTCTCATTAGAAGGTAATCTCCTTGAGGACAGGATTGCTAAGGCAGTTTGGTCAGGGCAGAAGCTAGAGTTTTGGATCTACAGTCAGGAAGACCTGAGTTTAAACTCCACCTCAGATACTTTGTAGCTGTATGACCTTGGGTGAATCACTTAAATTTTCTAGACCTTAGTGTCCTCATCTCTGAAATGGTGGTAATAATAACCCCTACTTCCCAGGGTTATTGTGAGGATCAAAATAAAATATATATATGCATATACACATATACATACACACATACATATGTGTATGTATATGTATGTGTACACACACACACACACACACACACACACACACACAAACTTTGCAAAGTTAAAAGGGCTGTATAAATGTAGCCATCATTATGAGAAGCAGCCTAGCACAGTAGATAGAGTGCTGGGCTTGGAATCAGGAAGACCCAAGCTCTAATCCTGTCTCAGACACTTACTAGCTGTGTCACCCTGGGAGAGTCATTTACCCTCTGCCTCAGTTTCATCAACTGTAAAATAGGGATAATAACCACCTACTTTGCAGGGTTGTCATGAGGATAAAAAGTGCTTAGCACAGTGTATGGCACATAGCAAGTGCTATATGAATGCTCCCTTCCCTTCCCTTTTTGCTTGTATTAGTATTCCCAGGCTTAGCATAATACCTGGCACACAATACCTGCTTAATAACTGTTTATCAATGACTTAATTGGCCATGTATGCTTTTCTCCAGCATTCCCAGTTCCCTCAACCAAGGACCAAGAATAAAGTTCTTTCACTGTCAGAATGAAGATGACCTAGGGGCAGATGGAGCACCGGCCCTGCAGTCAGGAGACCTGAGTTCAAATCTGGCCTCAGACAGCTGACACTTACTACCTGTGTGACCCTGGGCAAGTCACTCAACCCAACTGCCTCACCCAAAAAAAAAAAAGAATATGAACTAAACAGTTTTTAAATAGGAGAGAGGCCACAGAAGATGAAGACATGCCTGGTTTTAAATAGGGTAGAGACTAGATCCTCTCAATCAGAAGCTGATATAGGGGAGTCGGAGGGCACAGGCCACAGTTTGCCAACCGCTGGTCTCTATCAATCATCTTCATTCTCCTTCACTTCAAACATGACTAAAACAAAATAAGGGTGAGGAAAGAGACTCCAGCCAAAGTGCGGAGATCCCCAAGGCAGACAGGAACTACAGGGGCGGGTCTAGTTAATAGTATGTGGAATTTTAATCATCTTAATCAACGTGTTATAAAAACCAAATAAGGGATGTTACCCCAAAAGAGAGAATTTTAAGAATCATGAAGGTTTTGTTCACTGTAAATTATAAAGAGCTCTAGACATATGAAGTATTATTATTATTATTATTATTATATTTCACTGATAGGCTTCAGAAGGCCACATTAGTCTTCTTAAGACAAATGTGGATTCTAAGCTGTACTTCATGTTTCTAAAGGTAGAAAAACTGTTGTCAAAAAATATGCCCATTTAATTCTGGTTTTCAAGTAACAAATGCTTTTTTATTAAACAAGGAAGGAATAAGGCTGAGTACCTGATATTTAGACAATGCCACATCCATGTTTCGGGGAAGAAAGTCCTTTTTCTCTTCTCGGCTCTATCAAGAGAAGAAGAGAAACAAAATGGAAAAGTTACAAGGAAATGGCTTACAGAGGCCTCTGGCCTGGGCCAGGTTGGCCAGGTACCCAAGTGAGGACAAAAGGAAAATGGTAGGGCTGAAATGACAGCGGGCCCAGTTGACACAAGGCTTGCCCCATGATGATGTATACATCTTTTCACTGAACGCAGTTCTTTTTATATTCTATCAAATAAACATCAGACGCAGAAGCCAAAAATTGAGTATGACTATAATGTTCAAAAGAAGCTATGTTCATTTTCTTTACATGCAATTAAATTTTGTTCAACATTTATAAAGTACCTACTAAGTGCAAGGCCTTGAGCTGGGGTACTGATACAAAGATTTAAAAAAATGAGCTTATATCACATTGCTCACCATCTTAGGGAGGGAGGGAGAGAAAAATTTAAAACTCAAAAGCTTATGGAAGTGACTATTGATAAATCAAAATAAATTAATAAACAAAGATTAAAAAATGATACTATCTCGGTTCCTCCTATTGGTTTTAATTTTTACTTACAACTTCACTAACGTGAAAATATGTTTAATGGGTATGTAAATGTAAAGCCTATATCAGATTGTGCACCGTCTGGGGAGGGTGGGGAGGAGGAAAGGGGAGAAAAATTTTCAACTCAAAAGCACATGGAAAAAATAAAAAAATTTAAATCAAAAAAAAAATGATACTATCTCTTCTCCTAAGAAGCTTCCTAGAGGGATGAGACATAAATACAGACAGTTAAAAATAAGGTAGTGTAAAAGGGACAAAGGAGGGATCCCGACAAAATGTTCAGAGGATCTTCCTAGCTTTGACACTCTGGGTTCTAAGGTCCTCTTCAATTCTGACATTCTGAATAGAAAATCTGAGGAAGAGGATTTTTCAAAGAATCTTCCTTCATGGGGTTTTTTTTAAACTCTTACTGAGTTATTTTTGTTCGGTTGGTTGGTTTTGGTCTTTTGGGTTGTTGCTGTCGTTTTTTTTAATCTCCTTCTTGGGGGCAGCTAGGTAGCGCAGTAGAGAGAGCATCGGTCCTGGAGTCAGGACCTGAGTTCAAATCAGGCTTCAGACACATAACATTCACTAGCTATGTGACTCTGGGTAAGTCACTTAACACCAATTGCCTTACCCCCCCCCCAAAAAAAATCTCCTTCTTACTGATCCATAGCTTTTCTGGTTCCAGAGCATCTTGGTACACATTTTATTTTGACACTCTCTCCACACTAAAGAGATTTGGAATTTACAGATTTTGTATTGTGACAACTTCTCATCTTCAGAAGCTTTTTATCTTAGGATGATAAAATCCTAGAACCTTAGAGCTTATCACTTCATGCCTGGATCATTGCACTAGCTGCTGGTGGGTCTGCCCGCCTCAAGTCTCTCCCCACTCCAATCCATCCTCCATTCAGCAGCTAAAGTGCAGGTCCAATATTGTCTCCCTCCACCCTCCTCCACTCAATAAATGCCAATGGCTCCCTATGTCCTCCAGAATCAACATAAAATGCTCTGTTTGGCCTTCAAAACCCTCCATAATCTTGCCCCCTCCTACCTTTCCAGTCTCCTTAACCTTATTACCCAACTCTTTGCTCTTGTAACACTGGCCCCCTCACTGTTCCATGAACAAGACACTCATCTCTTGGCTCCAGGCATTGTCTCTAGCTGTCCTCAGGCCTGGAATGCTCTCCCTTCTCTGCTCTGACTACTGACCTCCCTGGCTTCCTTTAAGTCCCAACTAAAACCCCACCTTCTTCAGAAAACCTTCCTAACCCTTCTTAATTCCACTGTCTTCCCTCTGTTGATTATTTCACATTTACCCTGTATATAGCATGCCACATAATAGGAGTTTAATAAATGTTTACTGAATGAATGAATGAAAGGTAGCACAAATGTAAGAAAATACATTTGCTCAGAATTTCATCTACCTCCACGTCACCCACATTCTTATTTATTAAGGCTCTGACCTAGAGACCTGGTTCATCTTCGAGCTGGCACATTAAGGTAGTGCTGGCCAACAGCTTCCCAAGTCCCACATTACCTGGGTATGATCTTTGAGTGTGCTGTGCTGCCCAGCGTCCCCGTGTGTGGCTGAAAGGCTGGCACAGCCTCGTCCGTGTACATGTCCCCATCCTGTCGGTGGTTCAAGCTGACCAAATCGGTCATGACCACCAGCCCAGTTTCCTAAGTGGAGGGAAACAGCCAAAAGAGCTTCATCATTTTGATGACTGTGTTGTCCTCCGAACGGCTGACAAGTATATAACCCCAGACACCTCCGTCTTCACACCAGCCCTTGTCAGTGCTAGACAACAAGATCAAACATTTTCATATCTGATTCGTTCTAGCATCCAAGTGGTGGCACAGACAAAGGAGAACCAGCACATTTGGGGGAATAACTAAACTGTCCACTTAGAAACTTAATAAGCAGATCATGGCTTGCCAATTCTGTGGAGCAAAAGAACACACTATAAACCTAACAAGATTTAATCTTTTCTCGAAAGTCTTTTACTGTCACCACTGAGGCTAGGAAAAACACTGAGCCTGGAGTCAGAAGACATGAGTTTGAATCCCAGCTTCATCACTCATTAGACATGTGACTTTTGGCGTGTCACAATCACTTTTAACCCTGGTTTCCTCGTGTATAAAATAGGGAGAGTAATATTTATACAGCCTCCCTTACAGGTTTCATTTGGGATCAGATAACAGTTGAGAATGTACATGCCTATATTAACCCATTTTCAGGAATGAGTTCTTCCGAAAAGATCAGCAAAACAAAACCAAAATAAGGCCCAGATTCCATTCGGTCCAATAAACATTTGCTGGTAGGAGCTGCCATGCAAAGGCAGGCAAGAAAGAACCTCTGAAGATTTCTGAGCGAAGGGATGACACGGCCAGATCGCCAGATCCAGGGGATACTAGTGAACGAAGAAAGGTGCACTGGATGTAAGGAGGGAAAACCTGCCACAGCTCAAGCCTGGTGGTAGTGACGGACTCTATTGGGCTGGGAGCAGTAATGACAGAAGATCGAAGGTGTGGGTGGGTCTAGGAAAGAAGACTGAACCCCTCACCAAAAGCATTGTCCTTACAGCCCTGTGAGATGGGTAGGAAAAGTAATATTATGCCCACTTTATGGATGAGGAAGCAAGAGAGGAAAAATGACTTGTCTAAGTACATGTCAGAAACAGAACCCAGGCCCCAGGCTTCTGACTACAAGTCCAGCATTTTTTCTACAAGCCTACATTCACCAAAAAGTTAGCCAAATTTTCAGCTCCCAATTTTTCCTTTGATACATGTTGCTTGGTGCAGTTAATATCTTAGCTCAATACATTTCAAAAAGGCCTTTTGGAAAAGGAGGAGAGGAGCTAAGGACAGTATTGCTTACAATAAATGCAAATCGTGCATCTTTTGCAATATCCCAGTGCCACGGGAAAACAGAGGAGCGGCGACGGCGTCTGTGGGTGGACATCCCTGGCCACCAGAAATGCCCATCTTCCTTGGGCATCCCAAAGGTATCAGAAACGTCATATTCCATTAATTCTTGGAAAACCTGTACGCAACCAGGAAGAAGGAGGAAGAGAAGAGAAAAGGAAGGTGAGAGACGCAAGAAAGAAAAGAGGACAGGGTCAGGAATTATTCAAAAATACTTTTGACCTATTCAGTTCAATTACAAAACACTTATCACACATCTCTTCTGTGCAAGGTACAATGCTAGGCCTTCGTGATACAAAGACAGAAATGACACAGTCCCCTCCCTCAAAGAGATTACACTAGTTGGGAAGAACAGCATGTTCACAGATAAGTAATAATAAGGTAGTTTGAGGAAAGAGAGAAGATTAAGGGGGAAGGTCAGGATATACCTTGTGTAGGAGGAGGTGGCACTTAAAAAAACTGAGCTTTGGAGGCAGTTAAAGGTTCTGAAAAGCAGAGGTGAGGAAAGAGGCCATCCCTGGTGCCAAGGCACCTGTTACAATTGTGATAGCTAAGTCTCTCAGTGTCTCATTGAGGTGAGGTGAGGGCCCTGGAGCTTTGGCAGAGCCTTCTAAATTGGAAAGGGTTCAGAAATAAATTGTGTCAGTAACATAACTACCAGCCAAGCAAAGTGCAGAGAGACTCACCATTAGGGTGGGGGTAGGGCTGACCACCAGAGGATGATTATTTTTTTTTTTTACCCATGGCAATTCAAAGACTATCAACTATGTTACAGAAGGGT